AGATACGTGTATGCAGAGTTTAGATCTCTACGTAAAGCAATTAATTATCTGCACAAAACTGGCAAACCGTGTATTACATCAGAGAAACATTAATATTCCTTTTATTCTAGAGAAAAAGTAAAGCTTGTTAAAAGTAGCGTAAAAAAAAAAGAAAAAGAAAAAGAAAACAAAAAAAGAAACAGAAATATATTTACATGTAAGTTTTTTTTGGAAGCTTCTCTTAAAATAAATGTTGATTTTTAAATAATAATAAGTTTATCAATTATATAAAATTGGCAAATTCTAAGACGAGATAAACAATGTTTCTCTTTTCCCCAATCAATTATACTGCTATATAATAAAGTACGTTAATTAATTAAACGAAAGGAAACTTAATTAGTTTGTCAACAAGTATGAACTAATTAAATCAATCAAGGAAACGAGAGTATCGTTTAATAAAGACGAAAACGATCGATCTCGATTCTTCAGTTTCTCTTCAATTAAACTCTCTGACAGAAACCTAACACCATCTATTGATCTACCTGTATTAATTTAGAATTAATGTTGTGCGTTGTCACAATTGAAAAAAAAAAAAGATATGTATAATATATTTTAGCAATATATTGTATCAATTATATTTGTTTCAAGTATTGACGACATTCTTTGGAAATTTTCTTAAGCCAATAAATAAACAAATTCAAATATAATTGAGAACAATAAAATTATATAGATAATAATATAAATAAATATATACCTACTATATACAATATACTAATAAATATATTATTATATAATTTTATTTATATAATATTATTAAATATTTTATTATGTAATTTTTATTATAAAGTACAATTTAATTTTATTAAATATTTTATCATATAATTTTAAATATATACAGAGTGATCTGTAACTGTTCGTTTCTAGTGATCTATAAAAGTTCATAGGCTATTTCTGAAAAATCCATAGGGTATTTTCGAAAAGTCCGTAAGGTATTACCCCTATATATATATATAGGTGTTATAATTAATATATATTACATTGAAAAATATAATAATACAATTGGAAAACGATTAACGTATCACAAAATGTGTCATTTATTTATTTAATTCATATGAAGAGACAAATTAAAAAACTTTAATAATAACAATGACAACGAATACGAGACGATCGATCTTTCTAACAAAAAACGTTTTTGATACGTTCGTTTGGAAGTTTACCAACTTTACGATTATACCAAGGCTTTCGAGAAGTTTCTCAAGTTTCCTGCGAAAGAGGCTTTCGTTGTTGGTTAAGACAAAAAAGGGGTATGAACGGTGACATTAAAGGATTATTAAAGACTGAAAAACAATAGTACGCTCGTTTCATTTTGATTTTTTTTTTTCGACAAACAATGATCGATCACACTCGTGAAACAATTGTTTCAAAGGTACCTATCGACCTACCTACACACTTACGCACGATAACACTGCATACAACTTATACGTCTAACGAATAACTTCAGCTTAATGAGCCGCGCTAATTTATAATATCTTTCGTTTTTCTTTTTTATTTTTCCCCTTCTTTTCTTTTGCCCTTTTTTTATTTTTATTTCATTACGTCTCCATAATACCACCTCCTACCCCTGTAGTAGTAATTCGCGACACGAACGAAACAGTCACGAAAGCTTTATAAAAGTGTTCAATGTGATCGTGACTAAAATGAGGCCGTAGAAAAGTTTAAAAAAAAAAAAAAAACGTAACAAGATGTAAAGAAAATACAAAAAATACAAAAAAATAAAAAAAACTAGTCGTTCATTAGAATGTAAAAAATACGGGAATACGAATTTTATTTCGAGGATAGAGAGAGAGAGAGAGAGAGAGAGAAGAAGCATTTTGTACGAGCTCGCTAATCACGTGGACAGGGTTTCCAAAATCAAAAGGATTTTTTAAAAAATACGAGGAGGATCGTTCATACATATGTATGTATCTATTATATTTATGTATGCACGTGTATATATATATATATATTTGAAAGGTCGGCTGTTTCGAATACTCGCAAAACGCAAACACACATTTATTCGACGTCGCGTCGTTCCAAAAATAAAAGTGGCCGACCACGTTGGCTGAGTCACTACTCTCGTAAGTCCCTCTCAACATATAAATACGTAGAAATAAGATCGATAAATGGTGAGTGATAATTCGGTGTTGAATAAAAAAAAAAATAAAAGACAACAACAAAAAAATATATATAGGTCGAACGATACGAATCATCTTTTAAGTGTAATAAAAAAAAAAAAAAAAAACTAAAACGAACCATATAGTATCAAATTCAGGTTATGAAGGTGCGAGAAAATAAAACAAACAAAATTGTCTGGTGAAACCACAAAAAAAAAATATTTCACGCGATTAATCGTGCACGACCGTAGGTAGTATTTTTGGGAAAGGTTTGGTTTCGAACGGTTACTACAAAAAAAAAAAAAAGAAAAAAAAAATAATGATAAATAAAAGGATGGTGTTTCGAAAGGTGTGTAGAATTTTAGTAATAGTTAATTTATTCGTTAAGTCCTCCTGGTGTTAGATTTTAATAAACTTCGTAGCAAGTTGACGGTGATAAATCTGTTTAGGAAGAAAAGAGGAAAGAAATGGGGTGGGAGAGATTGGGGTGAGGTGAGGTGAGGTGAGATGAGGTGAGGTGGTACGAGGGGGAGGAAAAGGTAGAAATAAATAGGTTTCCTACGTGCGTTATCTATCGTTGATTTACGCGTTGAATTTATTTTACGGTTGGAGTCGTAAAAGAGTTTCCTGGAGGCTCGGTAAGCACGCATGATTACAATAAATCTCAATGGAAAGCCAATTACGGGCGGTGCGCGGGTGAAGTTACCGCAGAGCGTTAATGGGTTTAAGTGAATGGTAACAGTAAATTGTACTATCTCCCCGGCACTGTTTTAGTTTTGTCCCGCAGTAAATCCTTGCTGGTGGTAGAGTACATTTAGCAACGTGTAGATATGTAGTGTAGGTACGTACCTACCCACACCCCCACACCCCTACACCCACTCCCCCTATTCCACCCTCAACTCTTACGATGCGCCACCGTAAATCCGTGATATCCCAGACACAATAAAAAAAAAATCTCAACTTTTTACCTAACCAAAATATCTATCAGAGTTTTCATAATATGTATGAACAAATGAAAGATAAGAAAAAGGACAATACTTGAAGTGAACAAAATAAACGTAATGATATAACAAATGTTAATATTATTAACAATAATGACATTATTTTAGTGAGATAAAGTTTAATATTCGATTATTGGGTTATCCCCCTTTGGGGATAAACGCGACGGTTCGTTTCGCTTTGCGCCTTTTTATCGTTTCACAAGCACGTGTTCCCTGTCATTCTCTTAATACGCTCCTAAACGCAGTCACGAGCCCCGACAAATTTTCCTACCGGCTGTTCTTTCTACTCTCTTACTCTCTCTCTCTCTCTCTTTCTCTTACTGTGCTGAACGAGAAGAAGAAACTTTTCGGCGTAACTCTTAAACACACATACACACACACACACACACACACACAAATAGTTCTCATCGTCTTTTCGTCATTCCACTCTCTTCTCACACATACATAATATTCACTCTGTTGCCACCTTAACTCATCGAAAAGAAAAGGAAAGAGACGTAGCTTCTGGAACGTCCGACGAGACTTTACCTATGTGGGCGATTTTGTTAAATAAAACGTAAAAAAAAAAATAAAAATGAAAAAATAAAAGAAGAAGAATAATAAGAAGAATAAGAATAAGAAGAAGAAGAAGAGACACGGCTCGCATCGTCTCTAACGCGAGACGCCCCAAATTTGTCGGAGACAAAAATACGCTTTATTGCACGCCAGACCGAACGCTACCATAGACCTGGACTTTAAACTCTCTCTCTCTCTCTCTCTCTCTTTCTCTCTTTCTCTTTCTCTCTTTCTCTTTCTATCTTGTACGTTCTCCGACGACAAGAGATAAAGAGAGAAAGAGAAAGAGAGAGAGAAGTCTCGAGGCGTCTACCGACGTTCAAGCATTTCCTCTCGCTTAGTTAACCGTGCTGCTATAAATACAACGACGCCGGCATAACGTTATTTTTTCCTTTAAAAAAAAAAAAAAAAATAAAAATTAAAAAAGAAGAGAAAAAAATATTTTAAACTCATCGACCTATCTCTCTCTCTCTCTCTCTCTCTCTTGCGACATTTCGCACTCGCATAACAACTATTATCAATGTTACCGATACCATCCCTGGTAACTTGCATAAACGTATGTACAGGAGATCGTACAATTATTTCTAAAATACATTTAACAAATTAATTTAATATAAAATAATAATAATAAATAGAAATTTATATAGTAAATTTAATTATTAAAATAAATTTAATATAACATAATAATAAATAAATATTTATATAGGTTATTTAATTATTAAAATAAATTTAATATAAAAATATTATATTTTAAAATTATTATAAAATAATATTATATTTAAAAAAAAAAAAACAATAAATTAATTTAATATAAAATAATAATAAATAAAAATCTATATATTAAATTTAATTAATAAAATAAATTTAATATAAAAATATTATATTTTTAAATTATTATAAAAAAATATTATATTTATATTAAAATATTAATATTTCATATAAATTTAATATATTAAATTTAATATATATATATATTATTATTATTATTAACAAATTAAAAGGTTTGAACAATTAATTTGTATACTATGAACAAAAATTATAGGAAAACTTTTTAACTAAATTTGTTGAGAAAATAAATATGTTATATAAAATAAATATTATTATTATTTAAATTTTGTATTATAAGATTAAAAAATTAGAATATATTGTACTGATCCTGTTAAACGTTTTGTCCTTTTATTAGGACTTCTTCAACAACTCAATCAATTTTTAGAGTATCTTTAATTAAAAATTCGTTTTATTATTATTATTATTATTATTATTAATATTATTATTAATAATTAACATTGTTTGTTGTTTTGTTCGATTGCAGATGCGCGGACGGCTTCACGGGTCTACGGTGCGAGACGAAGGACATCAGCACCGGAAGTGTGTACAATCGTCGTAGGGCGCCATTTTCTTGCAAACTGGGAATCTCGACCTTGTACTACTGCTAGCGATAATCGCGCGGGGCCCTTCGAATGAATAGACCCTTTAGGACCCATATACGAAGCACGCTCGGTCTAGTCGGTCGTCGGACAACACATACACACACATATACATGTTACATGATAAGAGTCCGCGAATTAAAGAGTCGTGAGAGGGCCAACGCGCGACCAAAGAGAATGACGGATTGAAAAAAATAAAAATAAAAGATGGAGAATATAAAAGAATACGAGGAGAGAGAGAAAGAGAGAGAAAGAGAGAGAGAGAGAGAGAGACAGAGAGAGAATGGATCAATTAAAAAAACAAACAAAAAATATGCTGCTATACGAAAATATATGGGGCCTTACGACCCCTTCTTGAATTGGGGAGGGAGAAAGAGAGAGATAGATAACGTAGATGAAAAAAAAAAAATACATTTTGGTATAGCAATTGATCTCGATTGGTCCATCAAGGAATAGTAGAAGAAAATAATTTTTTTTTTTTTTTTTAGGAAAATAACACAATTTCCTAAAAAAAAAAACTAACTAATAATATATTTATAGAACTACCGTCATTTGTATCTACTTCTTCTTCTTCTTCTTCTTCTTCTTCTTTTTCTTCTTCTTTTATTTCGCTTTTTTTTTTTTTTTATTTTCTTAATAATTAAATTCTTAAAATGAAAAAAAAAAAGAAAAAAAAAAAAGAAAAAACATATACTTAGAAAGAAGTATACTTTTTTTGTGACTTTTCTTTATTAGAAAATTTAACGTCACAATAAACGAGCCTCGCGCTTTCGTAGAAATTTTTATTCGGGGAAACATAGAGAAAATGAAAAAGTCAGAAAGAAGGAAAGAAAGTAAGAGAGAGATTGAGAGAGAGAGAGAGAGAGAAAGAAAGAAAGAAAGAAAGAAAGAAAGAATGTGTGTGTTCATAGGGTGATATACATACGTGTGTGTCTGTCGTGAGTATGTATGCGTGTAAGTAATATGTATAATCCCGTACGAGAAAGATATATATATATATATAAATAAAAAGAAGAGATGATAAAATAAAAAAGAAAAAAAAGAAAAAAGAAGGAAAGATATAAAATAAGAAAAAAAAAAAACAAAAAAAAACAAAAAAATTAATTAAAATAAATAAATGAAACGTACGAAAGAAGACGATGGCGGGTCTTCGAAGCTTCAGTGACCCTTACTCGAATACACGATGATAAAATAAGAAATACGAGACAAACAAACAAAAAAGGGCCTTTGAAAACCCATAAATGCGACTTTCGGTAATCTCTACACTTCTTAACTCGTACAAAGAATGAAAGTTCGCGAGGTTTGATTCAAAAAAAAATACAAAATACAAAATACAAAATAAATAGGAAAGACTAAGCAAGGAAGTGAGAAGAGAAAAAAAAAAAAGAAAAAAAAAAGAAAGAAAAAAAAGGAAAAAGGGCGCTCGAAGACCGCGCTTCTCAAAGTCTCCACGGAGAACAATACCAAAGAGCTTAAGGGTCTCGATCAAGGACGTCGCAAGTACGAATAAATTGCACCGAATCTAAATCGATATGTATATATCGATATATATATGTGTATATATATATAGATATACATATATAGGAAGAAGAGAGTTCCTCCCTTTTAAAAAAGACCGCCCTGGTTCAACGTTGAAAACAACGAATATACGAAAAAAAAAAAAAAAAAA